CTCCCCTCTTCCTCTCTTCCCTTGTGTGTCAGTCTTTTTCAGATGGTTATCATGAGGGAAGGGACTGTGGTATCATCATATTTTCTATGCTTCTCTATGAGGCTTTCTGTCTGAAAGATAAGCCTTTTAAATAAGTAGTGATAACCATTTTACAATGGAGCCAAGTCAAGGAAGGTGTACACTGCTGTAGACACTATAGATTGTGTGGTTTTTAATTACGTTTTGTAGTGATTTAGTAGAAATGAGAAAGAGGCTGGATCCTCTCTGTGCAGGTGAATGAATATTTATCCCTGGTTCTTAGGTTCTCATTCCTATTATTTGTAATACCTAGTAGACTCCATAGGGAAATGCTGGTGTAAATCCACGAGGGGCATCTGGGCATTAAGAAATGTTTTTTAAAACAAGCTCAGGAAATGATGTTTTTGCCTAGATTTAGCATTCCACAAGTAGCAGAACATATCAGATATACTCGAAAGTGGTTTACCTGTTTAAAATGCAAGCCGTGTCAAAAACCAGAGGGACTGAAATCACATCCAGTTCCCAAAGAGCCTGCCAGAATGTGGACCTCTTCATGCAATGCTTGAAAAACTGACTTAATAATCACAGACTATGGCTGTTTCTAACCATAAATATGCACACCAAGGATCAGGAGTGAATCATTGATTGTCAGACAGATAGAATGTGGAGATAAGGCAGATTTAGGCAGGCCGAGAGAAGCCCTGGCAACAATTAATCAGGATGGGTCAAGTGTTAGTCTATAAGAGTAGGTATAAATAGTGCAGGAGAGAGAAGAGAGAATAGGTTAGTTATTTTTAGGGACTTGGTGAAGAACAGGACTCAGAGACGTGCAAATTGAGTCCACTTTAAGAGTTAGGGTTAGTGCTAGGGAATCATGGGAATTGGTTTTTTTTTCTGAGACATTGAGCCTTCTCTGTCAGAGAGCTCTGGTGCCACAATAAAATGCAGCTCCCATGATTCCCTAACCCTAATCCTAATCCTTAAAGTGGACTCAATTTGCACTATTTCTGGCAGTCTGCAAAGGCCCAAAGTTGCTGTTTTAGAGTATCCTGAGGGCTATGAAGAGCCTTAGTGCCTGGTTTAGTGAATAGTTTATACTGCAGAAAGAAGCAGTTTAAAGGTATTAAAAGTATCCAAGAGAGGACTAGGAGTGTCCTGGCGAACGTGAAATGTTATTCTCTGAGGAGAATAATAGTTGGTGAAAAGTGAAGTGCATTCAGTTAATAGAAGTGATATAAACAAAAGTATATTTGAGAGCTTGAATAGTTTCAGTAACTGTAACAAATAAATAAAAAAACAAAAAAACAAGAAGCCACGAGTGTAACACAGTGTGCAAATAAAGTGTGCCAGTAATGTATCAACTATGAACAACATCCCACACAAGTGATATGGTATTTAAATTAACCTGTAAATAAACTTATAACGTTGTTTCAATACATGGCTGGGTGGAGTGCTTTTAGAGATAAAGTTACACGCTACCAACATTGAAGAAAATATTTTATTATTAAGTCCCCTTGAGTGGTCTGGGGGAAAAAGTAGGTCCCTATCACAAGTGGGTTGTAGTGGTGGGATAACAAAACCCATTATGCTGCCATTTGAGAAAAACAGTAAGGTGAAGGGGTATCACCTTCACATAGGGATCTTTAGCAAGCATGGTACTCTCAGGTTTTCATGGTCAGAATTCAAGCAATTTGCCAAGGTCTGGGGGTTTTCATACATTATGGGCCAGAATTCTGTTAGGGACATACACATGTGTCCATCATGCTATGCATGCTGGGCCAAAAAAATAACAGTTGCTTAATGGACATATTCTGCTCATAGGGGCAGAAGCAGTGTTGTGCAAACAACATGGTCATCCCTTGCAAGTTACACATCATGGATTATCATATTTTCTGGCATATAAAACGACCTTTTAACCCCAGAAAATCTTCCCAAAAGTCGGGGGTCATCTTATATTCTGGGAAGAGAAAGATCCTGCTCACCCGGCGGCCATTTTGTCTCCC